TTGTGTGGTGTATGGTGTATTGGTGGTTGTGTGGTAGTATGAATGTGTTTGTGTGTTGTAATGTATGTGTTTATGTTTATTTGTGTTGTGGTTTTCCAATGTTGTGTGGATGTGAATGCATGTAAAAGTGATGAGTGTTGAGAGAGATGTAGTGAAATGTAAATAAAAGATAAAGTAGAAAAAACAAATGTGTGTATGTGATTATATCATTATATAATACCTCTGTGTGTGTGTGTGTAGTGTGGTGTGTGAAATGGTGTGTGTGTGTGTTGGGGGGGGGGCTTTTTTTTCTTTTTTACTTTTATTTTTCGGGCCCCCAAAAAAAAAGGGTTGGTGGTGTGGTGTGTAGTGGTGGTGTAGTGTGTGGTGTGTGGTCTCTGTTTGGTTTTTTTTTATTTTTTTGTTGTGATAGTTTATTGTTGTATTTTTTATGTGTATGTGTGGTGTTTGCCTGTGTTGCAAATTAAAAATAAATTATGATGAATGAATGTGATAGAAGATAGGTGTGTTGTGTGTGTATGTATTTGATTATTAAATTATGGTATGTATGTATGGTGGAAATAATTTTTTTATTTTTTTTTTATTTTTATTTTTTTTTCCTTTTTTTCTGGGTGACCGTCGTTCAAGTGTATGTATGTGTGAATTGTATGTATGTATGTACGTAAGTATATATGTAATTGTATAATGTATGTGTAGTGGTTGTATGTTGTGTGTGTGTAATGTTAATCGATGTGTAATGATAAATGAGTGGTATAGGTGGTGTTTGAGTGTGGGGGGGTGGCGCTACGCTGTTCTACCTGTAACTGCCTCATGTACTCGTATGCTATGTATGCTATGTTCCCTACTCCGCTGTATATAGTATTACCTGTCATTGATATGTCTGGCTCGTTTAGTGTGTCTGCTAACTGTCTGTGTGCTTGTCGTTAGTCATCGTTGTGCTGCTATGTATTGTATGATATGTATGTATGTAACTCTGATATGCCATATGCCCCCTCATTATGTACTGCCCTATTCGTCTACTATATGCTATGCTATGTATGTGTCGCTATCCCCTCATCTCCACCCGCCCCCCTACCTCCAACCCTCCCCTGCTGTGCCTTGATATTTATGTGCTGTGTGTGATGTAGCTACCTCTCGTGTATTTATGTGTGCTGTATGTATGTCGCGTGTGTCTGTTACATGTGTGTGCTCGTGCTGTATTCTGTATAATGTGTGCCCCTCCACCCTAGCCCCCCCCTCACCGTGCCCTAACGGCGTGTAATGTATGTCTATATATGTGTGTGTGTGTGTGTGTGTGTGTGTGTAGTTGTGTGTCGTGTTGTTGTGATGGGCTTGTTGTGATATGGGTGTGTGTGTGTGTGTGTGTGTGTGTGTGTGTGTGTGTGTATGTATTGTATGTATGTATGTATGTATGTATGTATGTATGTGTGTGTATGTGTGTATGTGGTGTGTGTATGTGTGCTGTGTGTGTGTGTGTGTGTGTGTGTGTGTGTGTGTGTGTGTGTGTGTGTGTATATATGTATGTGTGTTGTGTGTGTGTGTGTGTGTATGTGTGTGTTGTGTGTTGTGTGTGTATGTGTGGTGTGTGTGTGTGTGTATATGTGTGTGTGTGTGTGTGTGTGTGTGTAGTGGTGTGTGTGTGTGTGGTGTGTGTTGTGTGTGTTGTGTGTATAGTGTGTGTGTGTGTGTGTGTGTGTGTGTGTGTGTGTGTGTGTGTGTGTGTGTGTCTGTGTGTGTGTTGTGTGTGTGTGTGTGTGTGTATAAATGTGTGTGTGTGTGTGTATGTGTGTGTGTGTGTGTGTGTGTGTGTGTGTGTGTGTGTGTGTGTGTGTGTGTAATGTGTGTGTGTGTATGTGTATGTGATGTGTATATGTGTATGTGTGTATATGTGTGTGTGTGTATATGTGTATATATGTATATGTATATGTGTATATGTGTATATGTATATGTGTATATGTTATAATGTGTATATGTTATATGTTATATATGTATGTGTATATGTGTATATATGTGTATATATGTATGTGTATATATGTATATGTGTATATGTGTATGTGTATATATGTATGTGTATATGTATGTGTTTATGTATATGTGTCTATGTATATGTGTCTATGTATATGTGTCTATGTATATGTGTCTATGTATATGTGTCTATGTATATGTGTATATGTATATGTGTATATGTATATGTACGTATATGTATATGTACGTATATGTATATGTACGTGTATGTCAATATGAATTATGTATATATGTATATATGTATATATGTATATATGTATATATGTATATGTGTATATGTGTATCTGTCTATATGTATGTGTATGTCAATATGAATAATGTATATATGTATATGAATATGTATTTGTACATGCATGTAAGACATAAGCGACATACAGCATCTACTTATTCTTGAGTGAAGGCTTGAAAGTCAATGAAATATAAGCTTAGTCATTCAAAAACATAAATCATGACATTACCACAAGGATGGTGATATCAGGTCTACATGTATAATTGCTAACCTTTCTTCGTCCCATTGCAGAAAATCGCTGCTTGCAACTGTTGCATTCCTCCTGATCCTCTTCGTGTTGCCAGCGCACCTAAAATACAACAAAAAGAAATGAAAGAATGGATAAAGAGTGCATAGTTCAATGACTAACTTTAAATATGAATGACTCAAGTCACTCTCTGCTTGTGGTTGTAATCATTCTGACAATCCATGGGGGAACCCAGGATATAACAGAAGTTCCATGACAAATCACAAACAATCATCTACATGTCTCTTGTTAATGTAACAATAATCCTGACATTACCTCTTTTTCTGACTGTCGTATTTTCTCTAGCTGAACCTGGAGGGACTGTGAGAGCCGCACAAAATCTCTTTGGACAGCTTCAGAAGTGTCAAGATCATGCTGGAGAGCAGATACTCTTCCTCGAAGTTCAACTACTTCAGCTTCCAGTCTTGCCTGCAATTTTGTGACATCAGTCAAATAAACTCCCCTCAATTTCAACCTACCTTTTTCAAGTTCACAATGACAAAGAATAAGAAAAAGAAGACAGGAAACATATATTTGTTTCCTAAAGTGATGAAATTATATCCATCTGATCTCTGCCAGTTGTCATTCACTTAACTAAGTTACATTTCTCAATAACATTACAACATACATATCTAGTAAAAACTGATTTCCTTTGGATCTTGCAAATGTCATCAAAAACACAAAATACCATTTCCTTCAGCCTTTCCTTTCATATTTTGATAACCAAACTTACCCTTGCCTGTGTCTGCTCAGCTACCTGCGTTTTAAGAGCAGATATGATTTGCTGGCTCTTGAGCTGTGCCTCAGACTGTCTGTTCTCCAGCTCTTTAAGTTGTGCATCACTCTCTGCCCTGCTTCTTCGTTCAGCCTTCATCTGGCTCTCTACACTTTCCAAGACAGCAACCTTCTCTCTGTTTGGGAAAAATTCAAAGGCATTTAAATATATTCCATTAATAAACAGGTTACTATCAGCATGCACATCCCCTCAAAACATCTGTCTTCCATATGGCAATGCATCTTTGGAATGAAGTCCATGGACTTTATACCTCAGCTGGTCTATCTCTGAGGAGAGACGATCTTCTATAGTGTTTTTCTCATGTTGTTCTGCCAGCACCTGAGGGAAGTAATTAATCTCAGTTAATCTAAAATAAATACATATTCTAGCATCCATTGGCAACACATATGTAACTAATCAATTACTGATAAAATCTGAATTAGTATAAGCAAAATAACCATTAAAAAAATATCATATCTTCCACCACATAAGGGACCTGTAAAACATTCTTTGACCTTTAGGAATAACAGCATAAATTACTTATAGTAGAAAGATTGCTATACATTGGCAACTTACTTGATCCTTTAGGAAGAGTATCTCTGATTTGAGTGTCTCTTCAAGGTGCTCTTTGGAGACCTTTGCAGCAATAATATCCTCCCGATAACGGAGGAGAAGCAGCTGCATTTCCTGTTGTGTGGATATTAATAAGCTTGCAATTTAGCACTAAAGTGAGAGGGTAAATTGCTTCCTTAGAACAGAAGATATGAAATACAGCAATAAAAAAAATAAATATGCAAAAACATGGTCCTACTGATGCAATAAAAATCCTCCATGTTAAACTGAGGTTCTAACACTTACACCAATGTACTTATACAACACACAGCACCAATTCCAATTGGCCTATTGAATCCAAATATGAAAATGACTTTTTCCTTAGAGTATTCTGACTGATGTTTATAGTGTGGAACACTCCATTTTCATTAAAAAAAAATGAGTAGCATTGTTGTTTTACTTCTGGTAATAATAACAATATCAAGGAAATCATACAAATGAGTGTGTATCTAGTTATAATCTAATATCTTCCAGGGACCCTCAGTGGCTAAATGTGATGTCATTAGCTCTGCTCTTTTTTCTCCCCTGCTAATCTGTGTGGTATTTTATGGTGTTTTTTTCAGATTATTTTCTCTGAAAATGGTTCAGTGGTTTAAAAACTATATATATCTGAAAAAGAAATAGAAAAACTGAGCTGAGGGCCAGGGTGATGAGAATGACTGATCATAAGTGCAGAAAGCTCTTGGAGGGAGATTAAACTCAGTAGGCATTATTTCCCTTGATAAACGAGTGTGGAATGTACCATTCGTGAGTCATGACTGGAGGAGCACCAATTCCAGGGAGGCTATTTCCATGCTCAGGATCCTATTCCTGCCTGCTGTGACTGTCAGCGCAGGCTGTATCACAGAAAATTGAATATTACGGAAAAAAAAGACAAACAACATGTCACTTACTGTAATTATTACCCTGAGTTATGGACAACCAAGAGAGACGATATGGATGTCTATGTAAGAAAAGCAACCTATTATCATCTGTATAAGAGAAATCATATAACAAATACAGATATTGGAAAATTACAAAAAATTAAAAATGCTTATGCAGAAAAAGAGAAAATAATATTGCAATGGGGAAACATGGAGTCTTGCTCATCCAGCCTACAAGACCACCGGAGCAACTGCTCATGCAAGCATAATGGCCTAATTTTGGACCATGTGCAATGGATTAATATTTGCAATAAATTACAGTAAAGAAGTAGGCTTAGTTACCATCTTAGATCCGGTTGCTTCTCAGCAATCACTTGTAGCAAAATACAGGCATTAGGCTTCCCCAAGTGGCTACTCTGGGTGCGTGGCTTGTAGGCCAGACATAAATGGACACTTGTGTGCAATGACAAGATTATATGGCTCTCCCTTTGCAACTATTTTCTCTTTCTATGCATAAGCAATTTTAGCATTTTTCCCATTTTCCAAAGTCTATATTTGACATTTGATTTGCTTTCTTTGCACAGACTCCATATCATCCCTCTATAACTCAATGGGAAAAAATCAAAATGCTAAACATTTTGTTATCAATGTAATAATAATAAAAAGAAAAAAAAGAAAGAAAAAATTGTAATATGCAATTTTCAGTAACACAACCTGTGCCACCAGTCACAGCAGCCAGGATTGGGGTGTTGAGCATGAAAAAGGCATCCTCTCTGGAGCTGGTGCCCTTCCAGTCATCATGGCTCATGGATATTACATTCCACTCATTAATCAATGGAAATGATGCAAAAGCCCCTTTCTAAATGCCAAATGAGTCTATTCACCCTCTAGAAGGTTTGTGTATGGCGAATCTTTTCTGTCAACCCGAACTTCAGCTGAAACACCCATGACAGCAAGTTTGTGTCACCCAGTCTGAATCCAGATTTTCCAATGACATCACCCACCCCTCAAGCCAAATTTTTTCATGACACGGTGGTCACACCATCTGGGTCACAAGAGTTGAACAGCTGCAACCCATGTTTTGAGACAGTGGTGCTACCTCTCTTATAATTACCTTGTACCTAACAATCTACACCAATAATAAATATTTATAATATCAAAGACTAGTATCTTTAGAGTCATTTAAAAATCAACATCAAAATAACAATAATAATGACCTCCATATTATCAGGAAGATTGATGATCTCATTCTGCAATTGCTGTGAGTGCTGACTGTGCTTACCAACCAGATCATCATTCTCTTTCTGTAATCTGTGAAAAGAAGATCAGAACAACTGATTATTTCAACTTCATAATATCCCAACTTCTGCATTCAGTACATTAACAGCACTGTTACCTTTTTTTTTTTTTTTCACTGAGGCCAAAAAAAAAAAAAAAAAAAAAAAGAGAGAGAGAAACAAAAAATTGCTGATGACCACTTGCCTGGTTAGCTCCTGTTGTGCTGCCTCTCTTCGCTCTGTGAGGACTCTTAGCTGGTCATGAAGGTATGTCACTGTAGCTCGGAATTTGGCCACAACTTCATTGTGCTTCCCCGTTGCAGCCTCCACCACACTAGCTACACCAGCAACCTGAGAGAGACAATCATGTAATAATCCTTGAAATTCTGTGTGGATAAAAATTTTCTTGATAATTTTTCAAAGGGCCTTTCTTAAATCTTTTTTTGTCAATATATCAAATTTTCAATTATCAAAGAGATTTCATTTAAGCTTCAACTGTAGTTTTCTAGTTCTAGGGCCGAGAACAAGAAGAGTCAATGAGAAAAATGCCTTTAGAAGTTTACTCTGTTAATTGAAGTTAAGCAAATAATAATTCAAGAAATATAATTTTTTTCTATGACCAATTAAACTGATTTGCATTAATCTAATCCTTTTAAAGACATTTTTGTACATAATGAAAACAGCAGATGTTTCTTATAACAAAAAATATATAATATCTATCGACTGTAGTGCTCAAAAAAAAATTTATTTTTCTATTTGATGATTAATTCTGGCCTTTTCATGATAGGGATAATTGATATTGTAAAGAATCCTAAACAATCAATAATTTCATAATCCTTTTCAAACACACACATCACACTTTACCTTCTTTTCATAATCCTCTGCCATAGTGCGCCACTTGTCTTCCATCACATGGCGATAGCGGGCTTCCCGGTCCAGGTCTTCTCGGTATCGATCTAGAGCCTTTTCTAAATCTACCTTCTGTTTCTCTGTCTCTCGCTGCTCACTTTGAATCTGGCAATATGAAGTTACAAAGTGCTTACATCTAGTTGATCTTACATTTGGCAAAAATTTATGTCAGCTATGAAGCCAATCCTTGATGCAAAAAGTATATCTGTCAATAAAATTGAGATCAATGCTGCACTAAGCCTACCTTCTGCAGCTGCGTTTGATAGTTGGAACAGAGTTGACAAGATCGCCCAATGCGTGACCTGGCACGCCGGATCTCTTCATTGAGTAAATTCCATTCTACTTCACTGACTACCCTTCTTGAACCAGTCGACCCTGTACCACTGCCTCCACCCGCAGCCAGATCGATGGTAACATAATCATCATCACCAGGTGTTAATATGGACTCACTCTGTGTCACACCCTCTGAATCAGGTGTCACATCTAAGAGAAAGGTAATGTATTAATTTCTGTGTATCTATCATCACACCTTCAGCATAATAAAAAGCATTAAAAAGCTTAGGATATATCTAATATTCATAAACATTATGGAAATAAACAAATCTCCATGAGTCTACTGATACCTTTATGCTGGATTCCATCTTTTCTTTTAACTTTGAAAAATATTCAAACAAAGAAGTCTTCATGTAAAAATTAGTCATTTCAATTATATCGCATATTGATTTCAGTCAGAGGCCATTTTTGTTCTCATAACATGATTTCCACATCTCAAAGGAAGTAAATATGAAGAGTTAAGTTTCTTTCCAATTTGCATTAAGTGAATATGTTAATAGCTCAAAAGAAAGAACACACACATTACGTATGTTTTTATCATGAATGGAGACCAGGACTCAATGAAGGCCCCATATGACAAACAAAGAGTTGCATACATTTAGTAATGTGCAGTCAAGGCCAAAATTCATTAAGCATTGGTGTCATGTTGATAGTATTTGCTCTTAAAATATCATGTTAAATATATGTGAATGTCTTGTAACCTAATCATCAAATATTCACATAGTGCCTATTCTCCTGACCTAATACCTAGTCTTTTTGCATAATATGGAAGAACAGAACAGAAATACTAAAACAAGCAGTGTAATGAACAGTTCCTGACATCCCAACTATGCATAATGTTATGAAGAATCCTTGACATCTTGATTATGCTGAACGTAAGTTACAGACATTAATATATCTTTAATGCTTTCTGAATTTGTAAATTTAGTATCAAATCAACATGCTATACATAAAATTGATTCCTCAGTAAAGATGCAAAGGAAAGAAATTAGTTAAAAATACCATAAACTCCACAAGAAGTAAACTGTTTAGAAGTGTACTACATTTGAAAACTGTGTATTTCTCAGTAATTCAATGAAGCTGGGAAAAACTCCCAAAGACGAAATTGAAGGAGCAAAAATTATCTTTCCTTCTTGGATCCAAACTCCTGTTTGTTTTAAAACATAAAGAATCTTTGGAATTGTTAGGCTAATGTCAAAAGAACTTTAAGTTATTTAATATAATCATAATTTTTTAACTTTTATTTCCTTCCTTAACTTGCTGGCAACTGATAGCATGTCAACATACCATGGCATGGATTGGCCCATATACCATATGGTGCCTGAACATGCCAAGAAGATTACTCTCCCTGCACTTCTAATTTCCATCTCATGCTAACAACCTTCATATTTATCTACTGCAGTCAAAATTGCACTCCAACTATTTCCCAGCAACAATGGGTTATGTAACCAAAAGGTAGCTTGTGATGAAATTAACATGCTTATCAATTGATTAAATGCATGCAAAATAATGAGTTCATCAGCTGAGCCATTGTGGAAGAAGCTCAAATGCCCATATAAGAGCAGTTTCTTTCAGCTCATAAGAGGAATCTCAATGAAAAAAAGAAAAATATGACACTGATGATACCAAACTGACTAAACAAATAATAATAGGAACTATGCATCATAAAGCAGTACAAAATACATACCATAAATATCTTTCACAGCTGCATGCAAACGTGTATCTTTTCTATAGGTCTATAGACAACACCCACAAATATGAACATTATGCAAAAGTAAATATTTCTATAAATNACACACAACACCAGCCAACACAACACACCACACACAAGACACACACCACACACACAACGACACACACACACAACACCACACACACACACACACACACACAACACACCACACAAACAAACAACACACAACACACACACACACACACACACACACACACACACACACACACAAGCACACACACACACACACACACACACACACACACACACACACCACACACACACACACACACACACACACACACACACACACACACACACAGCACCTCTTAAGGCTAAATTTCCGAGAAAAACCCAAGCTTAATTAGACCTTACATACAGGTGTGCTTCCTAATGGCGAGCGGAGAGCCTATCACACCTGGATTTTACTTTAATTAGCAAGAATTTCGATTTAAAGAACTGTCACCGAGTCGTTTGAGGAAAAGATTTTAAGTGAAAGTAATGAGTGTTTAAGAGGGTATCTTTGCGGGCACAACCACACACACATACGCACACACACACACAGACACACACACAGACACAATCAGAAGATCTCTCTCTCTCTTCTCTCTTCTATCTCTTTTGCTCTCTTCTCTTTCTCTTATCTATTCTCTCTCTCTCCTCTTCTCTGATTTTCGGTCTTTGGGTCTTAGGATTTGGGATTCTGGTCTTAAGAAGTTCTTAGGTTTTAGGTCAGGTTTTAGGTCTCTCTCTCTCTCTCTCTCTCTCTCTCTTTTAAAGTCTTAGTTTTTTAAGTATTGTTCATGTGTCTTTGGGCTTATGTTTTCGGTTCTTTGGTCTCAGGATTCGGGTTTTGGGTCTTTAAGTCAGGTTTTATGTCTCTCTTTCTCCTCTTTCTTTTCTAAGTAGGTCTTTAGTTTTTTTTGTCTTTTCAGGTTTTTAAAGTGAGTCTTTCTTCT